ATTATTTGATTTTATTATTTAATTTGATAAATTTTAGCCATATAGAAGGGCAAAATCGTATTTTCCTTAAAAATACTTCTTTTATTCTGATTAAAACTCTAAAAAGTCAACTAAAGTCAATTTATCAATGCTAATTAAATTAGGAATGAAAAGAACCTTCTAGAAGACTATAATCAATTCTAATTGCATTAGGAATGATAAATCAATATTTGGCCCTCCTCTAGATCATTGGGCCGCACATAAATATCAAACCAGGCCCAGTTTAGTAATTTGGCCATAACTTCCTCATTATTCATCGGAATTGGGCTTATAATTTATCGTTGGAAAGCTCTTTTCGAACCCGACCCAACTACACTATTATTGGACCCTTGCCATGGACCAAAACAAACTAGATTGGCTGTTTTCATAAAATATGTTTCCAAAAACAGAGAGAAAGAAAAGAAATTAAAACTAACCACAACACTAGACTTTCCACACTTTCACCTCATTCAATTATGATTCGACGTGAAAGGTACTCATCACTGGGTTTGGTTTTGGGGAGACACAAATGGGTGTCTACACTAATCATGTTAGAATTAAAAAAGAACCTTCTAGATATTTCTAAAAGATTAAAATCAATGCTAACAATTTTAGGAATTATAATGAATAGGCCCTCCTCTAGATCATTGGGCCACATGTAAAATCATTGGGTCTAATTTAATTTTATCCATAAATTCCTCATTATTCATCGAAATTGGGCTTATAATATATCATTGGAAAGCTCTTTTCGAGCCCAAACCAACTACAATACTAAATTGGTCTGGATATTTTCATAAAAAGAGTAAGAATAGAAATATTTTGGAAACAGAAAGAGATATTTTAATAAAAAAAAATATCCACATCACTAGACTTTTCACACATTCACTTCGTTCAATAATCAAATGACGTGAAAGGTATTCATCACTGGGTTTGGTTTTGGGGAGACACATTTGGGTGTCCACAAGTATGATATATTTTGAAAAGGGCTAGTCTTAGAAAATGACTAGAGAGAGAATAAGATTTAGCTTAGACAGAGAAGAGAGATGATTGGTGATCAAGCTTGTTGATTGTTGGTGAATAAAAACGGGGAAATACAACCCTATTTATAGATAAAATAGTCTGAAAACGATAGATTAGAGTTATCGAATCGAAATAGAATTGGCTCTTTTCGCGAACGAAAGGACCCAGCGTGAAACGATATGAATCATGCATGACGACAGAGTCTGTGTCGTGCGATAAGGCTGTCGTTTGGTGCTGCGATAATTTTTTACGGATTTTGTCTTTATCATATCTTTTAATCCAAAAGTCCAAATAAGCCATATAATATGTTGTTGGAAATCTCTTGAAGTCTACTTTCCAACTAAATTAAAATCAGATGATTTATAGGATAAAATATATGGCCGAAATAGTGGGACGGTGTTAGTTTTGGATAGAATTTCGTATTTCTTTCATATATTTTTCGTTATAGTTCGGAATTAATATTATAATATATCATTGGAAAGATAATTTCAAGTTCTATCTAATCATATAATATTTGGATAAATATTATGAGGCACAAAAATATTTCCTTACCTTCTTCCATTGCGCACATAACAAGGACTCTAAAAAAGAGAAGTTTTATCCAATTTCGAATTCTTTGATCTTATCATTTCAAAAAAGGATAATTAAGATCTTTTAAAAACTTATAGAAGCTTCTTATAAATCCTAATTAGTTTAAGAATGGGATTAAACCTTTGGACCCTCCACATGATCATTGGGCCGTAGGTAAAATCCGAATTGAGCCTAATTTAGTATTTTGGCTATAACTTCCTCATTATTCATCGGAATTGGGCTTATAATATATTGTTGGAAAGGTATTTTCAAACCCCATATAATTATACCATTATAGGGCCCATATCATGGACCAAAATAATTGGACTGAACATTTTCCATAAACAGGGTACGAAAAGGAATATTTTCAAAAATAGAAAGAAGTATTTTTATTAAAATGACCGCATCACAAGACTTTTCACATTTCACCTTGTTTGATAATTAATGATGTGAAAGATACTCAAAAATGGGTTTGGTTTTTGGGGAGACACAATTAGTGTCTACAATATGGAATTATGGATGCAAGCATGTTGAATTATATTCGATTAATTGTTTGAATGGAATGTTGATACAAGCATGATTTTATTGGATTGGTTTATTTACCGTATTTTGATTATTGAAGGATTGAAATTAAATAGTTTAAGTGGAATGAATTTATTAATTATTCCACAAGGTTATTATTATTTTATTAATTCCTCAAGCATGACTTGTTAGTATGTTGAGTAAAACTAGATTAAGCCGAAATGGCTAGGTGGGTTGACTATGTTCAACAATTTTGGATAATTTGGAGTTTAAAGGAACTAAAGGTCAATTTGTGATGTGATCACCATTGTCCTAAATAAGATTAAAAGTGAATTGATGTATGATTGTTATGTATGGTCTACTTGAATGAGTCGGCTATAAATTAAATTTGTAATCACGTAAAGTGAAACAAGGATGAACAATAAAACTCTAGAAAGTGTGCACTTCTAGAGTATTGACAATTATGGGTTGGAGTACACGGTGATAGCCCTTGGCTTTTCGAGGCTTGTTTGATCAATATGTCATCTTCTATTTTAGTATTTACATTTTTATTTTATAATGATAGTTAGATGGGATCTTAGAATAACTTTGTGAGAATGGTGTCGTGCCCATTCTTGCATTGCGCTAAACTTTTATTTTAAATGGTCAATTAATACTAAAACTATTTGGTGGGCTGGACAACCTTGTATATTGCTTACTCCAAATTAAATTAATTAAATTAAATGTAAAGAGTCAAGTGTTTAAAATTGGTTAATAAGTATGTTGAGTCAATTGAATTGTCTAAGTATGGAGTCTTGATTAATGAATTCGTGTTGTTTATTTATTTACTTTAATTAATTGAGCATGCTTTGTAGCTTGTATGTACTCATCTTTGCTGATTGTGTGCTTTTGTGTATGTTACTTTTGGTTATGGCCTTTGTCTTTCAATGACCTTATGATGATCCAATTATTACACTTGTATTATTGGGGAGCAGTATTGCACAGGTTAGGTTGATGATGTGAAGTTCGGGGATTTGACATACGCATTGTCAAGGGATTGATGTGATTGAGAGTATTCGTTCTTTGTGTTGAACTTATTTATGTTTTACTATTTTAATTATGTTTTGGGATTTTGAATATTGGTTTGGTTTTAATAAGGGCCTTTATGGTTCCAATTTGTAAGGTTTGACTTATTGGTTTTCTAAATTATATTATTTTAAGGTTTAAGTTGGATTTCCGCTGTGATACTATGATAAAGCCGTAACTTTTTAACACGTGGCAGTAACATGCTAATGGTTCTCCTCTGTTTTTTTAAAATTAAGTGGTTTGGGAAAAGGGAGAATTTTTGGGGTGTTACATAGTGGTATCTGGGAGCTTTGTTTTGATTTTATAACCACTAAAGCCATTTTTTAAATTTTTAGGCGCCTAACGTTTTAAATCTAATGAGTTTTGTTTTATCTACTTATTTAAAGTTTAATCTAAATTTTCAAAAAATTATTTTACTTTAATAATTTGATTCGGTATTTTAAAAAAAATGTTTTTTGTTTATTTATCTAATTTTTGAAATTATTTATTTATTTTGAAATAAAATGAATTTGATTATTTATTTTATTTTCTTAACTTAATTTCTTGTTTCATTTTATCACTGAGATTTGGATAGCTTTAGAAAGGGTGAATAGGATAAATTATTTCTTTCTATGTGCATTGTAATTAATTCTTTTGTCTTTTTATTATTGTATGAAGTGATTATGCAAGTTATTTGATTGTGTATGTTTTATATAAAGGTGCTACTTGATTGTGATCATCTAGTATTATGTTTATGGTTTAAAAAATATAATATGGAATTATATGTGATGATTTGTGCTATATGATATGTGTAATTAACATTATGTGAAGCATGCAACTATGTGACTATTATATTGTGTTTCTTTTATTATGTTATTTACTTATTGCTTGGATTTTGGAAGGGATTGAATCAAGGGAACTATTTATTTATTTTATGGTGCATATGAATGATTAATTTTAAATAATCATTTCTTATAAAAGTGACTTATTAGGGGCGAAATTGTGGCCTTACCCACCTTTCTACCTTAATATATTTTTGAATGTGAGGTTTTATGCAAGTAAAATTCATTTGTGTCAACGTTGGCCTAAGAGTGCGTTATACAACGATGCTTTAGCTGATGCTATTAGGCTTCTAGCTGAGAACTTGAACCAAAACCACAATGACAATCCTGATTTTGCGGGTAAGATGTTTAAGAAGCTTGCTCATGTCAAACCACCATACATTTAGGGAGGTGGAGACCCAACTTTTCTGGAGAATTGGATTAGGGAGTTTGATAAGATTTTGCTGCTTTGAATTGCCCTGTTAATATGAGAGTGGATCAAGCTGCCATGTATTTGATGGAAGAGGAAGATATTTGGTGAAGGGATTAGGGAAATATGCTTCGTGCTAAGGCTAATTTTGGTTAGGACAATTTCAAAACCAAACTTAGGGAGAAGTTTTATCCGCCATTCTTAAGGAGGCAAAAGGCTTAAGAGTTCATCAATCTGCAAATGAACAATATGTCGATTACTGAGTACTATAACAAGTTTATGAACTTGTCAAGGTTTGCTCCTGAAGTAGTGCCTACTGAGGAGTTGAAGGCTCAAAGATTTGAGCAAGGTTTGACTAAGCAATTACAAAAGGAATTGGGATGAAAGACCTTTAAGACTCTTGATAAGGTTTATGGGAGAGTAGCACACATGTACAGTTTGAATGTTAGGAGTGCGCCTGATAGTGGAACTGGAAGTGTTGGAGAAAAAACGTAAGGATTTTGTAAATTTGAGTAACAAAGGTTACTTCAAGAAGCCAAGGAACGGGAATTTCCAGAATAGGAATGTTTAGAACAATGGAGGATCTTCCAGACCTAATGGCCAAGCTGAAAGGCATTACAATTGCAAGAGATGTGCCAAATCATCTTGGAAATGATTGTGATGAATACTTGGTTGTGTGTAGGTTTTGTAACAAGAAGGGTCATAGGGAGTTTGAGTGTTTCTCAATACTGAAGCAACAAAGAAATGGGAACAAGTTTACTCCAAGAAGCAATCAAGGAGGGAATTCAAATGGTCAAAATGGAAATGTAAAACAAAAATGTTAACAACAACAACCCCAAGCATCAATGAAAGAATGTCACTCCAGGTCGTTTGTCTGTGATGAGTAAGAAGGAAGCTGAAAGGTCTTCTGATGTTGTCACTAGTAACTTTTCTATTCATTCTATTTCTGTTAAATCTTTATTTGAATTTAGATCCACCTTTTCTTTTATTTCTAGATCTGTTGTGAAACAATTGGGACTAGTTGAACCGAACCCGATTGACTTGCCTATTAGATTACCTACTGGTGAAGATTTGAGGTGCACCAAGATGCATAAGGGTTTACCTTTAAGGATTGGAGAGACTGACTTTCCATCAAATCTTATAAAATTTGAGTTGGGTGACCTTGATGTTATTTTGGGTATCAATTGGTTAGACACTTATAAAGATAAGATTGATTGTGAGATGCAGAAGATTCATTTAAGGAGTCCTTTGGGAAATATTGTGTCTTACAGCCGTTTTGGAAAACCAAAAGGTATCAAAATTATTTCTGCAATGAAGTTGTCAAAACTTGTGAGTAAAGGGTATCCTTTGTTCTTTTGTTGTGTGCAAGAGTTGGAAAAGAGTAATAAGGTGAATGTGAAAGATATGCCAATTGTGAATGATTTTTTAGATGTATTTCCTAAAGAGATTTTAGGTTTGCCACCAAAGAGGGAATTAGAGTTTACAATAGATTTAGTTCCTGGGACGACACCAATTTCTAAGGCACCATATAGAATGGCACCTGCTGAGATGGGAGAGTTGAAGGTGCGACTGCAAGAATTGTTGGATAAAGGGTATATTAGGCCAAGTGCATCTCTTTAGGGAGCACATGTTTTATTTGTGAAGAAGAAAGATGGAAGCATGAGGTTGTGCATTGATTATAGGGAGTTAAATAATGTGACGATAAAGAATAAGTACCCACTTCCCAAGATCGATTATTTGTTTGATCAATTAAAGGGAGCTAGTGTGATTTCCAAGATTGATTTTCGTTTGGGGTATCATCAACTAAGCGTTGCTGATAAGGACATTCCTAAGACTGCTTTTAGGACTAGATATGGGCACTATGAGTTTACAGTCATGCCTTTTGGGTTGACCAATACACCTGTAATATTTTATGGATTTGATGAATCGAGTATTCCATGAATATTTGGATAAGTTTGTGGTTGTTTTAATTGATGATATTTTAGTATACTCGAAAAGTAAGGAAGAACATAAGGAGAATTTGAGAACAGTGCTGAGAACTCTTAGAGATAATAAGTGTATGCTAAGTTTTCGAAGTGCGAATTTTGGTTAGAGAAGGTTGCAGTTTTGGGACATTATGTGTCTAAAGATGGTGTTTATGTGGACCCAAAAAAGGTTCAAGCAGTGAGTGAATGGTCTACGCCTAAGAATGTGTCTGACATAAGGAGTTTCTTGGGACTAGCTGGCTACTACAGAAGATTTGTGAAGGATTTCTCGAAGATTGCTAGACCCTTAACTACCTTGATAAAGAAGGAAAGTAAGTTTGAATGGGATGAGAAGTGTGAACAAGCCTTTCAAACTCTTAAAAAGCATTTAACCACCGCGCCTGTTTTAACCTTACCTGATGGAAGTGATGGATTTGAGTATATAGTGATGCTTTAAAGAATGGATTAGGGTGTGTGTTGCAACAAAATGGGAAAGTGATAGCTCATGCTTCTCGCCAACTAAAATCTCATGAAGTTAATTACCCTACACATGATCTTGAACTTGCGGCTATAGTGTTTGCATTGAAGATTTGGAGACATAATTTGTTTGGAGTAAAGTGTAAGATCTTTACGGATCACAAGAGTTTCAAATATATCTGTACTCAGACAAATATCAATATGAGACAACGGCGTTGGTTGGAATTGTTCAATGACTATGACGTGAACATAGAATACCATGAAGGGAAAGAAAATGTTGTTGCAGATGCCTTGAGTAGGAAATCAAGTCATGGTGTGAATGCTTTAATCGTGCCTCACAAGTTATGTGAAGATATGAAGCGTTTGAACTTAGAGGTTGTGACATATGGTGAAGTAGAAGCAAGGTTGAGTGCTCTCTCAATTGGGAGTTCATTGTTGGGCGAAATAAAAGAGAGTCAAAAAGGTGATGAAGGAATCCAATTGATTAAGGAAAAAATGAGCCAAGGGAAGAATTTAGATTTCACGATCCATGATGATGAAAGTTTAGTTACAAGGAACCATGGTGTATACCGGAAAAGTGTGAGGTTTTAAAGAGAATTAAAAAATCATGGAAGAAAGCCACAATACTCCATATTCAGTGCACCTAGGAGGGGATAAGTTGTACAAGGACTTGAAAATGTTATTTTGGTGGCAAAATATGAAAAGAGAAGGAGTCGATTTTGTGAGTAAATGCTTGACTTGTCAAAAGGTAAAAATTGATCACATGAGGCCTAGGGGAAAGGTTCAATCTTTGGAGATTCCATGTTGGAAATGGGATTCGGCATCCATGAATTTTGTCACATGATTGCCTAGAACCAAAAGTGGCAATGACACTATTTGGGTGATTGTAAATCGACTTACAAAGTCTGCAATATTTATTCCAATAAAGGAAAATTGGAAGAAGAAACAATTGGCAAAGGTCTACGTGAAGAATGTAGTTCAACTACATGGAGTGCCTAAAGACATCATTTCCGATAGAGATTCAAGGTTCTTGTCAAAATTTTGGCAAAAGGTTCAAGCCAACTTGGGAACAACACTGAAAATGAGTACTGTGTTCCACCTAGCAATGGATGGACAGAATAAAAGGATCAACCAAACCATAGAGGATATGCTAAGGGCGTGTGCATTGGATTTTCAAGGTACTTGGGAGGATCATTTGGATTTGATTGAGTTTTCTAACAATAATGGCTACGATGCTTGAATTGGAATGGCACCTTTCAAAGCATTGTATGGTCAAAAGTGTAGAAGTCTTATATGTTGGAATGACTGCAGTGAGAATCTTGTTCGAGGTACAAAGTATATTGAGGAAATAGTGAATAAAGTGAAGTTGATTCGTTGAAGAATCCAAGCTGCACAAGATAAGCAGAAAAGTTATGTCGATTTGAAAAGGCAAGACAATAAGTTTAATGTAGGTGATAAATTTTTGAAGGTCTCACCTAGAAAAGGAGTGATGAGATTTGGAAAGAAGGGCAAATTGAGTGCCAAGTATGTGAGTCCTTAAGAAATTTTGGAACGTGTAGGCAAAGTTACTTACAAATTGGCATTACCTATGGAGTTTGAGAAAATGCATGATGTGTTACATATCTCTCAATTGAAAAAGTATGTTCCTTATTCTAAGCACGTGCTACAACTTGAATCGATTCAGTTGGATGAGACTTTAACTTATGATGAAAAGCCTGTGAAATTTTTTTATCATAAGGTGCGTAGTACACTTAATAAGGATGTGAAAATTGTTAAAGTTCTTTGGTTAAACCAAGAGTATGAGGAAGTTACTTGGGAGGCCGAGGACTATATGAGAAAGAGATACCCTGAGTTATTTGATGAGGTGAGTTACGAGGGCGTAACTCTTGTTCTTTAAGGGGGGTAGAATGCGTATAATTTCGCGCTTTTTTCCTTATTCTATGCTATTTTGTGTTGTTTTTATACTTTTCATAGCTATGGTATTGCTTATCTATCTAGTGAAGTGCATAAATTGGGATGATGATAAGGTATTAGTGTCGATATTATGACACAATTGGAATTCTAGAAAGATAATTTTGAAAATTTTGAAATGGCTTTATGTAAAATTTTTGCAATTTAAAGGATTTTGTGCTAATTTTCGGGACAAAACTTCTTTTAAGAGGGGTAGATTGTAATTCCCTATATTTTTAAATATTTTATAAATGAAATTTTATTTTATTTATAATATTATTCGTACTTTTCCGGAATTTAATTTCAAAAGATTCAAATTATTAAGTTGGGTTGAAAATTATTTTAGTACAAACTATTTATGAACCTTCATTTTATAATTCATGTTAATACAAATACAACCTAGTCCATTTCATTCATTTGGCCCATTATTTTATGAGGCCCAATCTTCCTACTTATTCTTGAACTCTCTCTCCTATAAATACCCCATACATTACCAAATTTTGCCCCACACAAAAGTATAGTCTTATTTTCTTTCTCCTTTATTTTATTTTTCCTTTATTTTCTTTTTCTTTTTTTCCTTTTCTTTTTTTTCTTTTCTTTCTTTCCCTTTCCTTCTTTCCCTTTCCTTATTTTATACGTGAGCAATGGCTCATTTTCTCAATGCTGCCACCCCTTGCCACTATTCATTGCTGCCGGATTCCGGCTGCCGTCGCCACTTTTGTCGGCCGGCGACCCGCCGGGTTAGCCACGACCCACGTGGTTTTCCTCTTCTTCTTTCTCCCTTGTTTTATTCACCTTGTATAAATTTTAATGTATTAGTTTTGTGGTTTTAATTTTATAGTATAAAGACTATATTTTTAGTATCAAATTATATTTTGATGATATAAATATTATAAATTTTGGATTATAATTGTTGTTATATTTTTCGGATTTGGTGATTTTAAAACCTAGGGTTTCAATTATTTAAATTGGGATTTTAGGTTTCTAATAATCAATTAATTTGGGGCTTTTGTCCCAATTCAATTTACATTGATTAATTAAGCTTAAAAACTTGTTTTAATGGAAGTTTTAAGGAGTTTTAATTTAATTATATTGCTAGAAATTTGATTAAGAATTAATTTACTGTTGTTGGTTGTTTTCTAGGAAGTGATTATTCCCTAGGAGACTTTTAAGTGATTAAAAGTGGCACAAAGGATTGTTTACACGAGGTACGTACATGTCTAATTCGTTGTAAGTAGTATCATGTTTTGGTACCAAAAGGAAACAAATTAGTTTCATGTTTAGAGAACACTTGGATTGAAATTGTTTGGTTGCACATTTAATTAATTCATGTGCTTATGTTTATGAGACATGTTTTGGTGAATTGATTATGTTTGTATGGAATTATGGATATAAGCATGTTGAATTACATTGGATTAATTATTTGTTTGGAATGTTGATACAAACATGTTTTTATTGGATTGTTTTATTAACCATATTTTTATTATTGAAGGATTTGAATTAAATGGTTTAAGTGAAATGAATTTATTAATTATTTCACAAGGTTATTATTATTTTATTTGTTACTCAAACATGACTTGTTAGTATATTGAGCAAAAATGGATGAAGCCGAAATGGCTAGGTGGGTTGACTATGTTCAACAATTTTTGATAATTTGGAGTTTAAAGAAGCTAAAGGTCAATTTGTGATGTGAACACCATTGTCCTAAATAAGATTAAAAGTGAATTGATGTATGATTGTTATGTACGGTCTACTTGAATGAGTCGGCTATTAATTAGATTTGTAAACACGTAAAGTGAAACAAGGATGATCAATAAAACTCTAGAAAGTGTGCACTTCTAGAGTATTGACAATTATGGGTTGGGGTACACGATGGTAGCCCGTGGCTTTTCGAGGCTAGTTTGATCAACATGTCCTCTTCTATTTTCGTATTTACATTTTTATTTTATAATGAAATTTAGATGAGATCCTTGACTAACTTTTTGAGAATTTATGAGTGTCATAAATGGCACCCATTTAATGAGCATTTGGGTTGTTTTTATCTTCTTTTCATAGCTTTCCTTCTTAATAAATACATAGTTTTATGCTTTTGCTCTTTATTTTACCTTTTCTCTCTTATTTTGTGGTTTTGTGCATTTGATGGGTTTTCTAGTCTTTTCTCCATTTTTTCTCTCTTTTTGTGGTTGTAGGTATTATACAAGGTTTAGGTCTTGATTAAGATGGATTACTAAGGTATATGATGCTTTTGGAGCAAGCTTATTGCAATAGGAAAACTCAAGATGCAAGGAAGTGGATTATCCAAGTTCTAACTCTTGCGCTCTCAAGTCGTGCTCTCATAAAGATAGGGTGTTGAACCCACTACCAAGCCCCTTAGCAAACGCACAAAGCCTCGAGAAGAATTGAAGAAACCAAGAGAAGCGCAGGCGCGCGGCCACCTTCGGGTCCCTATTTCGATCGTCTTCGTTTCGCGCCTCCTATAAATACCTATTTGTAACCCAATTTTTGTAAGTAATTAGAGATTAAAATTAGATGATAATTTTAGCTTAGTTGAGAGATTCTCTCTGTAGTTTTAGGTTTAGTTTAGGAGTAGATTTAGAGAGAGAAAGTGAGGAATGTCAATAGTGATTGAGAGATTGAAGATTCAATGGTGATAATTGTGTTGAAGATCTTCTTTATTATCCATGAGCATTTCTAACTCTATCTCATTTTATTGCTTTGTTTGATTTCATATTTTTTTGGTTTGATTTTGATGTTTGATTGTTGGTAGTGTATTTGTTCTCCATATTTTGTTGATACTTGATTTCCTTAGTTCTTAATTGATTACATGATGATGTTAGAGCGGTTATTTGGCTAGCGATTGGGTAAAACTTGTATGATTGATTAATTGTGCTTAATTTGGGAATTGTGTTGATTAATTGTTGATATTAAAGTGATTAATGGAAATTGTGCATGTGTGTAATTTGATAGGCCTTGAGAATTATGCTAGATTGCATTGTAATTTCTAATGATACGGACCATTGATTTAAGAATTGCAATTGTCAATTGAGTTTAATTTGTGAGTTTACTAGTTAGTGTCTCTCGTAATTGGCGCTAGTTAGACCCCTAGGAAATAGCTTGTCGAGCTCTTTTGATTGCTCTTTTGCAACTATGAATTTACATGTTGTTCCCAAGTTGCTATAATTTTCATGATTACTTGTTGATCCCCATTCCCTAGTGCTTTATTTGTTTGGTTTCTTTGTTTGTTAGTTGTTAGTATTCTCTCTTTATCTTTGCCTTCGACCTAGTTTAGGCGCATAATTGAGAGCGCTTGAACATTACCGTTCCTTTCGGTTCGACCCTTGACTTTCCTCTATACTTGTATATAAATTAGGTTTATTAAGTGTTTATAAATTTAGTTTACCGAGGGAGGATTAGTCAACGACCTAGTTTCACCCCTCGTTAAGAATAGAGTCGCGCCCATTCTGGATTGTGTTTAACTTTTATCTTAAATGGTCAATTGAGACCAAAATGATTTGGTGGGTTGGCAACCTCATCTATTGCTTACTCCAAATTAAATTAATCAAATAAATATAAAGAGTTAAGTGTTTGGAATTGGTTAGTAAGTATGTTGAGTGAATTGAATTGTCTAAGTGTGGAGTCTTGATTAATGAATTCGTATTGTATGTTTATTTAATTTAATTAATTGATCATGCTAGGTTTTGTACGTTGTAGCTTGTATGTACTCATCTTTGCTGATTGCGTGCTTTTGTGTGTATTACTTTTAGTTATGGCCTTCGCCTTTCAATGACCCTGTGATGATCCAATTATTACACTTGTATCATTGGGGAGCAGTATTGCACAGGTTAGGTTGATGATGTGAAGTTCGGGGATTTGACGTACGCATTGTCAAGGGATTGGTGTGATTGAGAGTATTCATTCTTTGTGTTGAACTTTTCTATTTTTTCTATTTTAATTACGTTTTGGGATTTTGAATATTGGTTTGCTTTTTATAAGGGCCTCTATGGTTTTGTAGACACTTAAATGTATCTCCCCAAAACCAAACCCAGTGATGAATACCTTTCACGTCGAATCATAATCGAATGAAGTGAAAGTGTGGAAAGTCTATTGTTGCGGTTAGTTTTTAATTCTTTTCTTTCTTTCTGTTTTTGAAAACCTATTTTATGAAAATAGCCAATCCATTTTATTTTTTTCCATGGAAAGGGTCCAATAATAGTGTAGTTGGGTTGGGTTCGAAAAGAGCTTTCCAACGATATATTATAAGCCCAATTCCGATGAATAATGAGAAAGTTATGGCCAAATTACTAAACTAGGGCCCGGTTTGATTTCTATACGCGGCCCAATGATCTAGAGGAGGGCCTATTATGACTTATCATTCCTAATGCGATTAGGATTGATTATAGTCTTCTAGAATCTTCTAGAAGGTTCTTTTAAATCCTAATTTAATTAGCATTGATAAGTTGACTTTTAAGAGTTTTATTTAGAATAAAAGAAGTGTTTTTAAGGAAATTACAGTTTTACCCTCTCGTACGCTTAAATTTTATCAAAATATGAAAACGCGTGGAAAAACTGATTGCAGCGCCGCAACTGCAATCTGTCGCCTGGCGATAAACTTGGTGTCGCGGCGACACATCTGGCGCCTGGCGACAGCCCTGTCGTCTAGCGACAGACGCGTGTTTGGCGACAACGTCGTGTTTTATTGTTTTCGAAACTCTGATTCTTTTTTATCATATCCGACTGATTTTCTTTATAAATAGGCTCCTAAAACCTCCGTTTTCAATCATCAATTCTTCTCACCAATAATCACCAATTCTCATCAAGAAATTCTTGATACTTTCTCTCTCTCTCTCTCTCTTTTCTAAACCAACCTTTTACAAACAAAATTCCGCATTCACAAGATCCAGACACACCTAGCATAATTCGAAGTAGTCTTCGCCCTAGACGTGAAAGGTTTGATATTTCTGAGGGTTTGGTCCCAAATCTAGTCTAAACTTTCTTAAATCCCTATTTCCATTATTTAATTTAATTGTTTTAATTTTATTATTTTCCTT